TCCATCTCGCTTTGAACCGCTTGGCGATCGAAGTATCCAGGTATGGTATGTGCTTGGCATCATTCAATGCAGTGTTTGTTCAATACAGACAGAAGCCTATACCTGCACTTACTCTCTATGGTGATCAGCTGGAAGTGGTTGATAGCGTTGGGTATCCCGGGAGCTTAATCGCAGCTGCAGTTGATGATGGGGAGGAANAGCAAAAGCTAGAACAGCTTTCGCCAACCTGCGACATCTGTGGTGCCGCAGGGAAGTGTCCATGTCCGCTATTCGTAGTCTTCTTCTTTACGGTTGCATGATCTAGCCCATCTGAGTTAAGGATGCTAACATCGAGAAAACACCGGCGTTTTCCCACGGTGGTGATTCTCGTCAATCCATTACAATTTTATACCGTGGATATTATCCGGAGAAAGGTTTTCCCCAACAAAGGTGCATAGGGCCGAGCTACAGGGAATTCGCCATTGTATGAACTGTATTTCTGGGAGTAGTCTGTTTTATCACCCTGGTACTCTGAGATGGATAACGTCATTTAGAAGTTCATAAAAGGCGTAGAGAAGAGATGTAAAAATTGCACTGATAAATTGGTTACTGATAGCTTCGATCTTCTGGCATCGGATACAAAAATTCCTTTTTAGCACATTATTTCCGGATTCCAGAATATAAGAATGTGAAGCAACGAAGTGTGTATCTATTGTTGAACTCATTTATGCCCTCTTTACGTATTCCGGTTAAGCTTTTGCACACTTTGATTTCAGCATTGATGGAAGAAAATTTTTCAACCTACTTTATCTCCACAGTGTTTGCGATAACGAATTAGCAACATTGTTTGGTTAGTAGCAGAAGAGACCAACCTAGGCCTTTTAACCATGTTCGGCGTCAATAGAATGCATCCGGTTTCAGACGCTGCGTTTCCTAACCATCATTGTACAACGAAATGACCACTACCAGGCTCACCTTGGGAACTTGACGAACGGGGTACTTACACGGAGTCCAACCGCTAAGCAGTACCCAATCCGTTCCGGGTTGCTTGTACTCGCGGAGATCTGGCTGGGAACAGTTACATGTAACTGATGCTAATCAAATTGCAATCAGGAACATTTTATCCCGTTGTAGTGACTTTGAAACAGCTGTGATACTCCCTTTCAAAAAATAATTAATTGACGCATTGATTGCACACGAGCATACCACCTAATTTGATTACGGGCATATTTTTTAAGTCGACTTAATAAAGTAAAATAAAGAATGTTTGTGTAGCAATATGGTGCAAGAATGCATCTGACTGATAAGGAAATTGTCTTTTCCCAACATTGAACAGTGAACTACCATGTTTGATTTGCCTTTAGCTATCTTCCAGTTTTTTTATTGATACCTCGTTAGCCTTGAACTTTTCAGTAACATTCCATGTACAGTCCATTCTGGCATCTTTACACCACGTTAGCTTTCGATCACTCTGCTGGACAAACTGAGGATGGATATGCATGCAGTCGATCAGGTAAATCTCTTAATCATCCAATTTCACGTATATTCCGCGTGCCGACAGATCTATCCAGATCTCAAAGAGCTGTACGAAATCATGTCCCGCTTGAGCATACTTCCACCGGATTTTGAGGGCAAAGACAAGGTCAAATGCTGGTGAGTGCCTTCTCCTGCTGTTCCTTTACTACTCGCTCTGTCACTGTTTTTCAAAAAACATTTCAAGTAGAACATTAACCATAACAGTTGTGGCCTATCTTGTACGCTGCGTCAAGTCATCCAACTACGCCAAACACACCGTCGATCAATGATTGTCGTGTTCCTTGACCTAAAAGGAGCCTTCCATTCAGTTGACCGCGAATCCCTTATGGGTTCGCTGATTCGCAAAGGTAGATCGCAATAGTATGTGAACATGCTGAGGCCACTGTACCCACACACTCCTGGTAGCGCAAGGTTCTACGGTGAGTTGAGTAGGTTGTCCGTGTCTAACAGCAGTTCAACAGTTCAACGGACAGATCGTGCAACATTCGCGCCACTGACTTCTATTCTAGGGCATATCTCTCTGTGTTAAGGGTCGAGTGTACGCCGCGGAAGTTCGGCCAGTTCTGATGTACGGCTCAGAAAATTGGCCATTGAGGGATCAGGACAAAGATAAACTGTCGGTGTTTGACCACCACTGTCCACGCAGCATTGCAGGGATCTGGTGGGGTAGCCGAGTGAGCAATGCTGAGGTTAGGCGCAGAGTTTTGGGTAACCGCGGTCGACCATTGGAGCAAGTGGTCAACCTCCATAGATTAGGTTGTTTGGGGTATATGTTACGCATGCCACCAGATAGGTTGCGACGGCAAGTGATGTTTTCCGAGGCAGGTAGCGGTTGGAATGAAATCAAAGGTGGTCAAGCTAAGACCTGGCACGAAGGTATAATTTCCCTAACCAGGGGACTCGGTCACATAGGTCCCGTTGAGCTCCCTAGATGGGGACCTCGGGATGATCGTAACTGACGGTTAGAAACACTGAATGATATGACTGAGTGTCGTAAACAGTGGTGTTCGTGCATCTTGTCAATTTTTCTACAACACTGAAATTCTCGGTTTTCTATTCGACTCTACTTTCAACCTTGCTGTCTTTCTCGTTTTTTAATATCACACACGTCTGAATCCAGACTGTGCGCCAAAGAAATTATGACACGATAGTCTCTATGAAAAAGTGAGACGTTCCATGATGCGTATGTGGGCAGAATACTGCCAGTTTATCCAAGCCAAGACAGGTGAATTTTCTTAAGGAACCCACAACCCGAGCCTTTGGCTGATCAAAGCCTGATCTGCAAGAGACTGGGACGGTGTGCGAAAACCAAAATCTATTGGGGACCAGTGTCCAGTTCATCGGATCATACATCCTTTGGATGGGATCAAAGGTCCAAGGTGCCCAATACACCTCGGTGCCCAATCTAGCCGGTGACGACTACAACGACCAGGAAAGTGTGTGCGTGGTTTGTACGCCTCTTCTTGGTTGGTTTCTTTCAGTTCAGTTCAGTTAAAACAACCATTAAGCATGCATTTTTGTGCAACGCCTTTGGTTGCTGTGGATTGGCTGCCCGTTTTGGTGAACAATGGGTTGGTTTGGAGTCCGGCTTTTTGGTCAACTCCTCTAGATGAACTACCAGTGGTCTACCAACCTGGTTATAGTCCCGGATGTCGGCCTTTGTCCTCAGCAGGGGCCATTCGGAGCGGTTGGTCATATGGGAGCATTTCGCGAGGTTGGTGACCAGCCGCAATCCTCTAAGACGCAAACGACCATACTGTGGATATCTGCTACTGATCATCCAAATGGGAATACAAAAGACGGCAACCAAAACCGGCACACGAAAGTGCATTATATTATATAATAATAATAATAATAATGTATATTTCACGAAACCCGTGAGGCAAGCACAAGGCATGATCATGTATATTTCACACCGATTTCGGAACAAGCATGGTAGCAACGCCACGACAATATTAACAATAACAACAACGGGAGAGGGTTGGGATACAGACAATAGGGAAAAAGACATAA